GGTCAATGCTCAACCACTGAGCCATGCTGCCCGGGCCCAAATCTGCATTTTACTAAGACCCTGGGTGATTCATGGGCACAGTGATATTTGAGAATGATGATTTATGAGACAACCATGCATCCAGACACATCATTCATTACCTGCTGAAGAAACCGTCAGCTTCGCTTGCCTCTCAGATGCTACCTTCTGGGTATTCCTTAAACTAGTATTTGAGTTGTTTGTTTCCTGGATGGATAAAAAGGTTTTTGGAAGCCCTTTCTTTTTTTTGTCATGTGCTGCCCAGCTGCAGAAAAGGAAAAGGCATGTTTTGGAATCAAAAGAGAAAGATCTGCTAACTCCGCTAACTCTGAAGGACTGCTGTTCTGAACGCCTCTCTGGTGTTTATAGGGGGATAAAAAAAATGCTCCCTAGAATGGTTTTCCATGAAGAAATAAGAGAGATTCATATCACATGAAGTTAGAAAGTGGAGATAAAACACATTTCTGAGGCATAAAGTTTCTGGTGAAACCTCATTAAGACACAGCGCTCTAGATGCCAGAATAGATTGACTGCAAACAGCTCGCCCTCTCAGCAGGGCGTTCCCCAGAGTTCTTTCTGTTTGCAGGCCCGAGCACAGGCCAGAGTTGTAGTCACCTAGTCAACACATTTTTACTAACCATCACAGGGAACAGCTTTGTTCTCCCACCGACATCCCATCTTGTGTACAAGAGCCCTTTTAAAAAGTACACACTTGCACGCACACACACACACACACACACACACACACACACACTCTCACACAAACACACACACACACTGAAGCCTACTGTCTCTAATTCAAGTTCCACTGTTGCTGGAGAAGTTCTGAAGGCAAATCCTACCTTCCTTCAAACAAACGAAGAAAGAGCATGAGGGTTGCCACTCCCTCTGCCCCTGGAAATGGCAGAAAAAGCACCTGATGTCACTGAGCACACCCAGTCCTCACGGCGTCACCTCCTCTGCCCAGGGCCGGCTTCTGCTCCCTGCAGCAGCTTCCCTTGGCCCTACCGACAGGTCTGCCTTCACGCTCTCGGCTACAGGAACCCACTTGTCTTCAAGATGCTGTTACACTGAAAGGCTTTTAAACTGGGAAAGTGTTTACATCTGGGAGCAGCTTGGCTACCCAACGTGGCTGGCGTTCTTAGAAGGGTTTAGTCAAACCCAAAAACGGAGTCTTACCAAGGATTATGTTCATTATTGCAGGTGCACCTCTGATTGCTTGCTCATAACCACTGGTGTGAGCTGCCAAAAGTGTCTCACACGGGGACTGCCTGCCCTCCAGCAGCCTCCATGGCCCTGCATACCCACAGCCACTTCCTTCCCCAGCCCGTATAGCAAAGTCTAGTTTATCTCCTTCAGGAGAAATGAATAAGGCAAGAGAACTGGCATCCATAATCAATCTCTCTTCAAGAATCTATTTACCTGTAATTTTTAAATGTTTGAGTCACTGTCCCTTTACTATGACAATAACATGAAATCCCAGTCCAAGATATCTGAGAGCCTCTCTTCATTTGAATAAAAATGTTTCTACTGAATGAAGCACATTGAAATAATGAAGTGCTGCCCTAGCTGGTTTGGCCCAGTGGATAGAGTGTCGGCCTACAGATTGAAGGGTTCCAGGTTCCATTCTGGTTAAGGGCACATGCCCCAGTTGTGGGCTTGATCCCCGGTAGGAGGCCTGCAGGAGGCAGCCCGTCAATGATTCTCTCTCATCATTGATGTTTCTCTCCCTCTCCCTTCCTCTCTGTAATAAATTTTAAAAATACATTTTTAAAAAGGAAGAATTAAGTGCTAAAGAAGAAGACCCCCGGATCAGAGCCCACTGGCGTCTGTCCCTCCACCTGTCTGCACCTTCCAGAGGTTGGCATGAGTGAACAAGTGCTACAGTAGTTCCTTTGCCTGTGTCCTGAAGTTGGCTCTGGATTTGTTAATGCTGGAATCTGCAGCCGATTTCAGCTGGACTCGGTTTCTCATTACCTGGTACTTCTGTTTCAATTGGGGAGGTGTTTCAGCATTAGCTTCTGAGCTTGCACAAGCCGGAGCCAAAAGCTGAGCAAAATCTTCATCTTAAAAATGTTTCCCACATATTTTAAAAGTCTGGATGCCTTAATTCCACGCAGTAACATTGGTCCCCCAAAATGTTTTCATTTCCATATGCAGACTCCAAGAGGGAAATGGAAGTTGGAGGTTTGAAAGCGCCTCGAAGCTTAGCTCACCTTCCTCTGAAGCTGCACCTCACCGTGTTGGAGACACCTCCGGCATCTGCGTGACCAACACAGTGAGGCATGGTCTGTTCATGCGTTTCCTGTAGAAAGAACATGCAAACAAACAGGGTTAAATGTCTATTTTAAGTGCATAATCCTGCATGTACACTTTCTCAAGATAATGGCCGTTTATGATGCACCTATGTCCTTTATTGTGTGTATAGTATATTTTAGGTGAACAGATGCTCCTTCAAATGATTTTAAGTTGTATAATAGTATTTGCAACTTGGGGATATTTTCATCTGTTCCTTGCTGAAAAACCTATCTTCCACATCACCCCCCAAAAAGTTACCATTCTCATTTTGGTAATATTGATATTCTTTGTTAAAATAAATGTGTTTTTCTCTTTGGGGGAATGTTGTCTGGTTGGTTGGTTGGCTTTTGGGAAGTGGTTGTACTGCGGGTTTGAATGATTTTCCAGAAGCCCCAATTTTTTTTAAATATATTTTTATTGATTGCAGAGAGGAAGGGAGAGGGGGAGAGAGATAGAAACAGCAATGATGAGAGAAACAATAATCGGCTGCCTCTTGCACGTCCCCTACTGGGGATCAAGCCCACAACCTGGGCATGTGCCCCGAGTGGGAATTGAACTATGACCCCCTGGTTCATAAGTCGAACGCTCAAGCACTGAGCCACACCAGCTGGGCCAGAAGCCCCAGTTTTTTAGCAATCAAGGTCAAAGCATGTAATTGATTCTGTGTGTCAGGAAGTCTTTTTTGTTAACTCAGTTACCCAGTATGCTAAAGAAATGGCACAGCTGGAAGAACTTAGAGGCAAATACAAAGCCAAAACCTTAGGAACTATTTGTTTTACTCCTCGTAATGAGGACCTGGGACAGAGAATAGAATAACCCCTCACATTCTTCTCCATTGGAGACAAGTCTCTGCCTCACCCTCCCAGTCACAGTTCTTTGCACCTGCTCCTCTAGTTCTCATCCTTTCCCTATTTCTTGTTCCTTTAATAGAAACCATCTCCTCAGAGGCCTTTAGCAGCCCCTTCACTCCAGAAGCGCTACAACCAGCCATGCAGCCTCGACCTTCAAACAATCACATTCATCTCCATCCATGGAGGTAATAAACCCAGAAGTAGAATGAGCTGTGAGAATCCATACTCTCCATTCCAACATGCTCTTGCGAGGGGGAGTCCGGGAAATTCCCCTTACCTTTTGTTAATTGCAAAATAAACGTATTTCCAAGAGTAGGGAGCTGCTGAGAGTTGGTTTTATCCAGCGCTCCCTAAAAGCACGGGCCATCATTCCCCTACAGCCAGCGCTCACATTACCGGGGCAGCGAGTTGCAAGCACACAACCTTCCTCTCAGCAGCAGTCTCTCTGAATTTTCTCCGAGGCCCTGCTCCTTCTCCCGACCCCTCTCAGTCTCTCCTGGTATCAGCTGTGATTTGAGCAACAGTAAAGCACTGTCTTCCTAGAGGTTATACAGGAAACTAGAGAAAATTTGCAACCTCCTTAAAACAACCCCAGTCTGCATTAGGCGCCTCCAGAAGAAACTGCAAACTTGCTCATCGGTGGGGAGAGAGGCTGACAGCAATAAATGTAAAGGCTTCTTGGGGCAGGAATGACTCAGAGAAGGAAGGCTTCGTGCTCCCGTAGGGAGAGTTTGGTTCCGGGTCAGAGGAGCCTGGCGCGTGCTGTCTATCCGCTGTCTCTCTGGGGCAAGGTGCTTGACCTTTCTGAGCTTTGGTGTCATCACCCGAAGAAGGGTAACAGCAATGCCTCTGAGTGTGGTTGACACAAGAATTACAAAAAATTAATAAAAAGGGTCCTGCTTACGGCCAGAAAGCTATACAATGCAGCAATATTTATAGCTTTATTTCCCAAACACGGTGCCTTGCACAAAATTAGAGTTCATAAATATTTGTGGCAGTGAGGGGAGTGGGAGAGAGGAGGAGAAAGGAAAGGTGAAGAGAGACATTTGAAAGGATTTGAGTTGAGCACTGACAGAGATGGTCTCCTCCTGTTAATTGATAACTTTTCTGATTACAATGTGTGTTTACTGTGGAAGTGTTTGAACACCACGGACTAGGAACAGCCCCAGGGACCCTGCAGATCGGAGGCCCCTGGCTGCCAGGCGCTCTGCTGCCGGTACAGCAATTACGCTGCTTACGGCCACGTATCAGACTGATCTGTTATTCCAGAACCCCGTTCCCTTCCCCTGACACTGGGAAGCTCGGTTTCAGGGCAGTTTCTCCTGCCATCACCCCGTCTACAAAGGACCGCCACGATCCAGCTTCCCATGACGCCCGCGCCCCTCACCTGTGCATCCCTTGTACGGCCTTATTTAAGAGCGTGTCCACAGGACCCGCCAGGTGAACATAGCCCCTGCTTCCCAGGAGGCCGGCGTCTATGGAGTGGGTCAATGGGCTCCCTCACTCCCTGCCTTCCAGTTTGATTCGGCAGGAGATCCAGGCATGGAGCAGAGTGAGGTGGGGTGTGTGCCAGCCTCCCTCCCCACCAGGCCTCAGTTTGGTGATGGCTGCATCTTCCTATGCATCCCTCTCCTACAGTTCTCTTTGGGGTCTGACAGTCACTTCCCCTTCTTGTTCCTTTACCCGTGGTCGGCAAACTGCAGCTCAAGAGCCACATGCGGCTCTTTGGCCCCTTGAGTGTGGCTCTTCCTAAGCCTTAGGACTACCCTATTAAGTTAATAACAATGTACCTACCTATGTAGTTTAAGTTTAAAAAATTTGGCTCTCAAAAGAAATTTCAATCGTTGTACTGTTGATATTTGGCTCTGTTGACCAATGAGTTTGCTGACCACTGCTTTAGCTAGGGCTGCCCGTTGCTTCTAAACAAGTGTTTAGAAGTGCTTCACAGCCCTTGTTGGTTTCCCTAACTCTGCTCAAACTCTCCTCAATGTCCCACTGCAGTGTGTCATTTGTTTACTGCCAGGGCCCTTACTGATGAATTTCTCAAATTCTGGCCAGCCATAACCTCTGCCTCGTCACCCTAAGTTTCCTGAAGAAGCAGCCCTTTCTCTCAAAAAGTCCAGAGGGACATGCCCAGGGATGGGTTGAGAACGTGTGAGTGGCGCTACCCGGTATTATCCCCTGTCACCGCCCACCGTCTGTGCAGAGGCCCCAGGCACTCAACTACTTGTCATGCTACGGTTGACTTTCTTGCCGCCCAAAACAGACCTGCACTGAAGAGTGGGGTGGATTTTGCTCCCAGATGTCTGCTTCAGCATCCCAATCCCTGACCATCTTCCCAACTTTTGCTTTCCTGGGGACTCCTTGATTTCCCCACTCAGAGAGGACTCCTGGCTCCCAGCGGTGATGCGTCAGGGATAGAAACTTCAGGGACTCGCGCTACCCAGCCGGCTCTGTGTGTTCCTTCCTAAACACGACATCCTACATGAAGGTACAAGGAACCTCATGGTTCATTTTAAAGAGGGTTTGTTATTGTTGTCCCAGGTGTATTAAAAACTATTTTGGAAAGTTCTCATCAATTCAAAAGACAGAAGACAGGCTTTATTTGCAGTAATAAGATTCTTACGGCATATTGTGGAAAAGGAACAAGGTCAATTTCAACCCCCAAAATGTCAGAATTAAAGACACTTGCAAAGCACTGGAGTTTTAAAAAGAGCCAGAGAACCAGCTGCCAGAGGCTATAGAGAGGCCAACAGCTACACAATCACGTTCCCCAAGCCAGCAACGCAGTCTTACCCCTTACAAACATTTTTTCTGAGTTTAAAAGAAATTACAATTTCAATTTCAAATAGGCTAAATGGGAAAGAATATTTGTGGTTCATCATTTGGGGCATAGCTTTGGGAGAGCATCCCATGAGTCTAAAAACATGAGTTTAATTTTGTAAGTTTTTAAGTGCAAATGACAGCTGCCATTCCCTATTGTTTCAGAGAACTTTTATTGAAAAGGAGCCTCTTTATTAAGGACCTTGAGGGGACTTAGGGAATTTTGCTTGAAAAAAAAAAATCACCCAAATCCAGATTCCTTTCCTTTTGAGCTACCATTTCCCTACCTGCTTTAATAATTGCCCAGTTCCCAGGAGAGGGAGGACTTTCTCTAAGGAAGCTTGCAGGGGGATTTGGGGTGGAGGCAGGGGGCTAAAGCAGTGGTTTATTGATTTCTGGCCCTTTCGTCATAAATCTATTGGAGGCCAGTCATTAAGGAGGACATGAGAATTTAAAGACTTCCTAGCCTCATTTCCTAATTACGCCCACTGCATTGAAACCACTGGCGTGTTATAAACCCACGATGGTGCTATACAAATTATGTCCTGAGCTTCAAGGTAGAGGAAAATTAATTTGCAGGTGTATGAACCGGAGAACTTATTCTAGTGAAGGCACAGATGTGGCTTTGCATTTTGTTAGCTGTGTGCTGCCTCTGGGCCTGGTGCCTGAGCTGAACCCAAGGGAGACAGGCAACCTCCTCCACAGTGTGGTCCAAATTAAACAGTCCTCGAATCCAGGGGTCATCGCTGCTGGTGCTGCTGGTGCTGCTGGTGCTGCCCGTGCCGGTGGGTCTGCGAGGTTCCAGGCTGCCACCCGTGCTGCAGGCCACGCCAGCGTCAGATGGTCTCGCACTCGGTGGTGGCCGTGGAGCAGGCCCCGCAGTCACAGCGGACGGCCACGGGATAGGTGTAGAAAGGGTCAACCCCCGGGGCACAGTTGGGCAGCTTGACGGTCACTTGTTTGGTCTCGTTGTAGGTACAGACTCGATGGTGGGCTTCGATGTAGGGGGGCTCCAGAATGGGCTTCTGTCCCCACAGGTAGAAAACAGGGAGCCATTAGAACAGCGCTTTTCAACCGAGGTGCCGCAAGAATGTTTTACACATGCGATACCTGACTATTTAGTCAGGGCCCTGGCCTCTTTTCCCTTAGATCAGCGGTTCTCAACCTGTGGGTTGCCAACCTGTGGATCGCGACCCCTTTGGGGGTCGAACGACCCTTTCACAGGGGTCGCCTAAGACCATCAGAAAACACATATATAATTACATAATGTTTTAGTGATTGATCACTATGCTTTAATTATGTTCAATTTGTAACAATGAAAATACATCCTGCATATCAGATATTTATATTACGATTCATAACAGTAGCAAAATTACAGTTATGAAATAGCAATGAAAATAATTTTATGGTTGGGGGTCACCACAACATGAGGAACTGTGTTAAAGGGTCGCGGCATTAGGAAGGTTGAGAACCACTGTAATATGTGTTTCCCAAAGGGGTCGCGACCCACAGGTTGAGAACCACTGCCTTAGATGGTCAAATAAAAGAATGACAACCGCCAACACAACAAGAGCAGGCCGGTATGGGGCAGACTTATACCCCCCAAAAGTTGTGTTTCTCCGGCATCCAAGTTTAATGCATTGTGGTTTTGTTCTGTTTTGGGTTTATTTTTCGCTAAATTTGGAAACCCTAAACCTAGGCCATGAGCAAAGGCTATTTTCAGCAACATTCGACCTTCAAAGTAAATGCAGCCACTTTCTCATCATGAACATCCTATTTTCAGATGTGCTCCCAGTTAAGTTACCAAAAATAAGTGCTTTTTATCTCAGAAATTTTCAGATTGCTGGGAAAGTAAAGCTCATCCTTTTATTTGTTTTCTATAAGTAACCTCCCTTTCACAGCACAATAAAGGCATAAATAAAAGCTAGCAAGCATCAAGGAGAATCCTGTCTCTAATGGCCTTGCTGCTTCCATTTCTCCTGTGACCTCCTGTGGGTGACCATGATCCAATTAAAGACATTCATCAATGAAGAAGAAGAAGAAGAAGAAGAAGAAGAAGAAGAAGAAGAAGAAGAAGAAGAAGAAGAAGACAGAATTGAGGGAAATGGTGGTTTGAGACTTGGGCCCAGAAAGAGCTCCAAAGAGCCCCCAAGTGGAATTGGAGCAGAGGGGTCACCACCAGGCCAAACCCTGAATATGAGAGGGTGTCAAAGTTCCCTGAGAATGTGTGATGTCAAGTCACAGCCACAGTATCCTTAGCAACTACATTTTCATTTGGCTACTAGGTCTCAAGCCCCTAAATGATGCAAAAATAAAGCTAATTTGGTGTTTCATTTAATTCGGAGGTTCATCACCATAACCAATCCCTGTCGTGGGGCCATCGTTTGTCTAAGTGACAGCAGATTGCTGTCCGAGTCCCTGAACAGAAGGACAGCTTTCCTAATGGCAGTGTCCTCTCGTGGCGCCCAAGGGCTTCTAAGTTGGTGTTGATTAAGCTAGAGGATTAACACCATAACTCCAGGGAGAGGTCAATCCCATGTAAATCAACAGGTCTTTATGAATGCCTTATTCGTACATGACTTTGACAAGAGCTGTAAAAGGTGCAAGAATTCATCTATGCCCTGAAAAAACTTCAAATCTGGAGCTGTATTGTGGACAAGGAAGTAAGATGCAAGGCAAGGTAGAGTCATAGGCCGGCCAGGGAGTCAGAAGGCCCCTGGGAAGGAGTCAGCTCTGAAGAAGGGCCTCAGAGAAGAAGTCTGATGATGACAGGTGGGGATGAGAAAGGATACAAAAAGAACTGAAGGTGAGATCTCATGAAGGGTGTTTAATAAAACCTTTAAAAATCAATCTGACAAGGCCAGACCTCAGGCTATGTATAGCTGCTGGGGAAAGAGCCAGGCGTCACATTGCTACAGACCTTGAAAGTTGGGCACTGAATTGGCAGTAGTGGGTGGTCCTTAATGACTTCTGAGCTGGTGACAAGATCAGAGCTGGTCCTTCATTATCACCAATTCAGAGCTCAGGGGGAAGAGTTAGCAGTCACTCGGTGTAATTTGATGGGGTGCCCAACGGCCTTCTTTCTTCTCACCCAGCAAACACATCCTCATCACAGCCCTATAGGGTTCTAACTTTGAGATTTTTATCCCCATTTGAAATGCAATGCTGCTGAAAGGACTGAATATAATTCAATATAAAGGAACTTAATGGTTCTGCCAGTGATAATCCTGAGTGGGTGGGACGGGGGCAGGGCTTTGGGAGAGGCACTGAGGAGGGACTGAGGATCCACCCTCACCCGCTATACAGCTCAGGGCTGTCCCTTGGCTGGCTTCATCACAGCTGGGAGAACACTGTGAGAGTTTTGGTTACATGCTTGGACCAAGAATTTATTCCCACCTTTGCACTACAGGAATAAACATGACTCTGCAGTTACTTATCCCTCAGATTCCTCCATGTGATCTGTAAAGTGGGTAGAATAATAGCACGTCTTAACTTCACAGAGATGATTCCCAAATACACAGATACACGCAAGTAAAATTATTAATTTTACCAATGCATTATTAGAGGGACAAGATCGGGTTTCTTTCAGGTTTTTTGTTTTTTTTTGGAGCACGCCAAATAATTGTGTGAGTTTTTTAATTGATTTCAGAGAGAAGAAGGGAAAGGGAGAGAGAGATAGAAATATCAATGATGAGAATCATTGATCAGCTAACTCCTACACACCCCCTACTGGGGATCGAGCCCACAATCCGGGCATGTGCCCTGACAGGGAATCAAACCTAGACTTCAGGTTCATGGGTCAACACTCAACCACTGAGCCACACCAGCCAGGAAAATAATTGGTATTTTTTTAAACTGCAGGAAAAAGCAGATGCTTAGAAATCAGGCCAAGTGGACCTGCCCTGAACTCACCTCCCAGGTCTCACAGCGGCCCCAGCAGGCATCGGTGGTGATCCGAAGGCCCCTGCAGCCCGGCTTCTTGGCCAGGAAAGTAAACTCCCTGACGGCACAGCCCACAAAGGTGTGCAGGTTCCCGCTGGAGGTGCTGAGGACACAGCAGCAGCCAGCCAGGAGGAGGAGGGCCATGGGGCCGAGGAACAGGTACGCCAGCTTCATGCTGCTCCCGGGAGAGGGAGAGGAAAGAGAGTCTGTTAGCTGATCCAGCTGCCCTCCGTGGGGCAGCCAACGAGGCTGATACCAAAGGGACCCGGCTCTTAGCATTTCAGAAGAAATAAGCCGAGAAATTGCAGGTGCCCACGAACTCCACCACAGGGGACTCACTGACTCCAGTATGGACTCCATGGGCCCAGGTGCTCACTGGACACCCAACCCTCCAGGGGCAACCTCAGGCTTTTCCTTATTATGGCCCAACTGCTGGACTTGCCTTGGGTGTTAAAAAATAAAAATAAAAAATAAAAAGCTGTTCCAATGGTCTCTTCAAAATGAACACAAAATATGAATCACACCCCAAATTATGCATATCCTAATACATGGATACACACACATTCTTTTTCTTCAGAACCACTGTATTTGCTGCCATGTTACATGTTTGCTTAAAATTATATTTTCAGTGTCATGGATGGTTGTGGAATCGAGGTGGGGAGGCAGGTAAATAATAATTGTATGCCCTTCTATATTTTTACTAGCCCAACCCGCCACAAAGCCTGGTCATGCACAGATATTATGAAACCCGCACCTGACTTGGTGGCCCTCTATAACAGCGTGTCCCCTTCACTGCCCGATGCCTCCGCTCTGTGCCTCTGCTGACATGGCACCTCGTTGTGATTCCATTTAAATCCAGATGATGGAAACCTTGGGGGTGCTAACACATAATCCCAGTCTACTGTAAGTCTGTCCTCTCTGCAGCTTGGTCATTTCCTGGGCTCTTTCAGGAGCCAGAATCCCTCCCTCACGCTCGGCCCACTAGACAGAACATACCTGGGTATTAAAGTGAGAGTGGACATTGCACTTATGGAACACCCCCAATTCATTATCACTTAAAACAGGTTGCAGAGTTATTTATTTCCAAACCGGATCTCCCAGCTCCTGCTTCTGACCTGTCACCTTATCAGAGCTCTTTGGACTTCCCCTCGTGAGGAAGGAGGGTACAGAGATGAGATGCACTCACCTGCTCTTGCGGAAGCCAACTCTTCTCTTGAGCTCACACTTGCCCAAGGTCTCAGCAAGTCACAATGGGTGGTAGAAGCTCGCTCTGGGGAAATGTCTCTACCCTCTGTTACTGGGCTGCTTGACTGCTCAAATATATAAGAAAGGTCTTGTCAATCAACACAAAAGAGAGGCAGATCCTTACAGGAACCACTGAACACATCAAAGACCTGGGAGATAAAGCAGGTCTCTATTTTCCAAAACTGATCCACGTAAAGGGTGTTGTTTTGTTTCTTAACATCACCTACTGAAACAGAAAGTTACCTCGGTGGGTGACATAATCCTAGGGAAACAGTCAAAGGTAGTTCACCTAGCTCTCAGGACAACAAATGCATTGGGGCAAGATGGATTAAATTTTCCTTCAAAACAGGAGTCAGTCACTAGTAGCTCATGGCACACTCTTTCCCTTAACTCACAATACAATTCAATACAATGAGAAATAACAAAGCAATAATTCTTCCTGGAAAGAACACTGGATCACGAGCTGAAAGGATGGAAATCGCAGGGAGAAGAATCGTTTTGAAAGTCTTAAAATGAGAGAAGGATTAGATAATATTAATAGCACTTGAAAATGAATCATTTAGGGGGAAAAATACCAAGATGTTCAAAGTGATTTATCGTCCAGCACAGGAATGAATGATGACATTGGATGTCCTCTACATAGTTTTCAGCATTTTTCACATTTTCTTCATTGAGCAGACGTTTGTGATAGAAAATCAATGAATAGTGATACTTTTAAAATTAAAATAAACCAATAAGTATACATTTGTGCTACATATAATGCTATGATTTTTGGTTCTTAAAAGTCTAAACTAAAAATGAAATAGTGTTCTTTATGAGTATGGGACACAGTTTGTATTCAAATCTGCAACAGCAGCATACAAATGGATTGAAAACCTCGTGTTCATGGTATTATTGTTCTGGATGCTCTAAAAAATAAATGAAGCAGACATCATCCTTGCCCTTTAGAGTTTACATATCACTGAAAATAATGATATAGCCAGAGACATTTAGGATGCACATTAAATGGATAAATGATACTAAAATAAGTTAAAGCATTCCCAATTTCTGCAAAATAAAAAGTGTTCTTTAAACAAACATCCTTCTCACTAAATGTTTCATTTTTTTTTTTTGAGACCTATAACAACCCTCAGTGAATCCATCACTGCATCATCAATATACCTATTTCTAGAGTCAGACTATTATAGGGATTTATAGAAAATTGAACGAGCCTGGGAATAAGGGACTTTCTTCAACCCTCCGCCTGTGAGTAGCATGATCAGAACTTGGATGTGATGGGGACAGACTGCTTACCTGGTGTGATCTTCCCAACCTGCTGGGTCTAGAGCCAGCCAGTTGGCGGTGAGCTGTCATCCTGAACTGGGTTTCTCAAGAAAACTGTTCAACCCTTTTAGATTTGACCTGAAACATCCGGACTTGTGTCTGCAATGACACAAGGTAAAGAAAGATAACAAAAGGAGGCCACAAGTACCTTTCTTCTACAGTCATTAACTTCCTTATAATGCAGTTGTGACATCATGCCTTCCCCCCCCCCCGCAGCATGAACATGATAATAATGACAATTTATAGTCACCGAGCAGTTACTAAGTACGGGGCTCCATGAAATCTGCTGTGCTCTTACATGTGTTCCCCACATTTCACAGCAATTCTGTGAATCAGCGGCTATTTCCTCCTTTACCCACTGGGAGACATGGAGGCTCAGCTATTTTGGAATCTGCCTTCGATGACACTGGGGATGGCAGATAGGTTTCCATCCCTGTAACCAACTGGGGTCGGTTGAAAGGTTCTGGCTGGAACCCTGTTAAAAAGGCCTCTGGACCCATTCCCAGTGGAAGGCAGAGGCCCATCAGCCTCGCCGTGGGTATAGAGAAGAGGAACGGTGCATGGAGGCCAATCCTTACTCTAGGCCCTGGCACCTGTCTCTCTACCGGCAGAGCGAGAGGCTGCTGTGAGAGACAAAGGTGCTTGAGGCTCTGATCCCATAGAGCATCGCCACCATAGTCTGTACATCCACCACTTTCCCTTCCACTCCACTGACATTCCTACCTTTAAAGTCACTCTCTTGAGGTAACAAACAAAAGGGTGGGTGATGTCTCCAGGCCCAGGCCCCAGAGAATCTTCTCTCATCCTCTTCCATTATCATCTTCATAAGCATCACTGTCACTTCAGAGGGTGAGTCACAAGATACAGGTTCTCTAGGGGTCAGGGGAGGAAAGAAAGGACATGGGTGAGCAACCATCCTGAGATCGGAAGGAGCAGGACAACAGGGGAGGAATGCGCTCAGGGCCAGTGCCTCAGAGAGATGGTGGGCAGCCGAGGCTGGTCCCGGGAGGGCCACCCCAGGCGACTCTCCTCACTGGCTCGGCCACAGCTTCCTCTGTGACTGCCCTGAGAAAGTCACTTCTCTCCACCTCAGCTGTTTCCTCTGTACCATGATGAATTGGACCCTGTGATCATAAGGTCCTTCCTAGCACCAGAATCTAAAGGTTTGTAAACTATTCTATGACCATAGCAAGCTGAGGGACAATCAGATAGAGAATTCAAAGGCTCATCCTATATAATAAAGAGGTAATATGCAAATTGACCATCACGCCCACCCACAAGATGGCCACCCCCATGTGATCAAAGATGGCCGCCCCCATGTGGAGACAAGATGGCCAGTAGGGAAGGGCAGTTAGGGGCAACCAGGCCAGCAGGGGAGGGCAGTTAGGGGCGACCAGGCCAGCAGGGGAGGGCAGTTAGGGGCAACCAGGCCAGCAGGGGAGGGCAGTTAGGGGTGACCAGGCCAGCAGGGGAGTGGTTAGGGGGTGATCAGGCTGGCAGGCAGAAGTGGTTAGGGGCAATCAGGCAGGCAGGCGAGCGGTTGGGAGCCAGCGGTTCCAGATTGTGAGAGGGATGTCCAACTGCCGGTTTAGCGGGATCGGGCCTAAACCGGCAGTCAGACATCCCCCGAGGGGTCCCAGATTGGAGAGGGTGCAGACCGAGCTGCGGGACCTCCCCTCCCACCCCCTGCATGAATTTGTGCACCGGGCCTCTAGTATTACAATAAAGCCATCCTGATCTGTGTTCAAATCTCAACTCTAACACTTGCCAACTTGTGATCTTGGGATAAGTCTTATAACCCTCTGAGTCTAAGCCTCCCACAAAACTGAAAATGCCACCTTCATAGGGTTCATGGGAAAACTCTATGAAATAATGTCCAAAAATTGCTTATCTCAGTGCTTGATACATGATAAATAGGCAATAAATGTAGTTACTCTTTCTCATCTCATCACCATTGTATGTAACCCTAAGAAATAAAAAGCTGCCAATAAAAAATGTCATGTCTGGCCAGTGTGGTTCAGTGGTTGAGTATTGACCCATGAACCAGGATGTCTCCAGTTCAGTTCCCAGTCAGGGCACATGCCTGGGTTTTGGGCTCGATACCCAGTAGAGGACATGCAGGAGGCAGCTGATCCATTATTCTCTCTCATCATTGATGTTTCAATCATTCTTTTCCTCTCCCTTCCTCTCTCTAAAATCAATTTTTAAAATATTCTTTAAAAAAAAAAATAATGATATCACATGATCTCACTAATTTGTGGAATATAATGAACAACATAAACTGATGAACCAAAATAGAGCCAGAGAAAAAAAATGTTAAAATATAATAGAAGTAACCCTGTTATTTGCAGATTTTTAATATTTCCTACGACTTTTGTGATATTATACTATACTATGTTAGTACAGTTTTGGTAATATTATTATATTTAAAATCTTTTTTCTTGAAATATTAATGTTTATTGCATGAAACATTATTATACTTAAAATCATTTTTCTTGAAATATTAATGTTTATAGCATGTAACATTATTACATTTAAAACAGTTTTTCAAAAAAATAAAAAATAAATAAATAAAACAGTTTTTCTTTCCCTAGCCGGTTTGGCTCAGTGGATAGAGCATTGGCCTGCGGACTGAAGGGTCCCAGGTTCAATTCTGGTCAAGGGCACATGCCTGCATTGCAGGCTTGATCCCCAGTAGGGGGCATGCAGGAGGCAGCCAATCAATGATTCTCTCTCATCATTGATGTTTCTATCTCTCTCTCCTTCTCCCTTCCTCTCTGAAATCAATAAAAATATATTATAAAAATAAATTTTTCTTGAAAATAAAAAAATAATCTATACTAATAAAAGGGTAATATGCTAATTAGACTGGGTTGACTGGACATCTTCCGGTCATCCTGCCTTCCTTCCAGACAAAGCCACAGTGGCAGGGGGCCAAGGCAGAGGTGGTTAGGGGTGATCAGGCTGGCAGGGGAGGGCAGTTAGGGGCAATTAGGCAGGCAGGCAGAGGGGTGCAGGGGTGGGCAAACTTTTTGACTCGAGGGTCACAATGGGTTCTTAAACTGGACTGGAGGGCCGGAACAAAAGCATGGATGGAGTGTTTGTGTGAACTAATATAAATTCAAAGTAAACATCATTACATAAAAGGGTACGGTCTTTTTTTTCAATAGTTTTATTCATTTCAAACGGGCCGGATCCGGCCTGAGGGCCGTAGTTTGCCCACGGCTGGGTTAGGGGCAATCAGGCAGGCAGGCAGGTGAGCAATTAGGAGCCAGCAATCCTGGATTTCGAGAGGGATCCCAGATTGGAGAGGGTGCAGGCCAGGCTGAGGAACTCCCCCGCTCCTATGCACGAATTTTGTGCACTGGGCCTCTAGTAATAATAATAATAATAATAATAATAATAATAATAAACAAAAAACATGTCACACCACTAGCTATTAGGCATTTCCTGATATCAAATTTATTAAATGTGGGAAAATGTGTCTGAGAATAGAGGAAGCAAAATCTTTGGGGGTGATGAGACCTCATCAGGGTTCTGAAACCGGAAGACTGGGCACCAAGCAAAGTCAGCTTGTGGGGCTCTGATCAGACACTGAAATTAACATGTTTTTCAGTAGGGGTAAAAAGGCTGAAGTGTTAGATTTAATTGTTAAGTTATAAATCACACTATGGGGGGTGTAGGGTTTACCATAGTAGCAAAATTCAATATATTAATAATCTTCGTGACTGCTTCCAAACAATTTCAGTTCTGACCAAGAATGGAGTCAAACTAACTGAGCCAATCATCACGCCCTGAGAACCCTCTCTGGTCCACAGACCCTAAAGGGAGGACCCAGAGAACGAAGCCATTGGCTGCATCCCTTACAATGAGTGCTCTCCTGAGAGTTGAGAAAAGATGTGCTTGCTCCCCTATAGTTTTCCCCATTGTCCTCTCAGAATACACAATGTTCTGTCCAAGGGTCAAATTAATCAGCATTATGCCACCTGTGCCTGAATAAAAAAGCCACAAATGAAGCTACATGTCTCAAGGAAGTAATACAATTAATGATTTTCCAAAACCACATATAAGAAAGGTTAGCCTTGGATTTTAAAAAGTTGTATGTTGCTTGTAATATCCCTTAATGACAGAGGGGGAAATACTAGGATTACAAATGAAGATGAATGGCGAAGTCTTGGAAGAAATTATTTTACTGAAAGTCATTTCTTCCTTTCGCAGCCCTGGGTATCTGTGGGACAGCTCCTCATTTTGACTTAAAGAGATAGCATTTGCTAGATGATAGTACAGTTGCTATGGTGACTTTTTGTTAACAATACTAAAAATAATGAAGCCTGTGTCTGATTTACTAGGACAAGTTAAGCCTTCCTCCACAGCTGTCTGAATGAAGTAGCTGTCAATTGTCACAGATTTATATCAAATTAAGGGCACACAGTTAGGCACTGAAGTGGAATGTTTTTATTTCCGCCTGACTCTTCCACTTTTGAATGTCATAGCTTTGCAGGGCATGGCAGACACATGCCTAATAGAGAGGAACAGAGAGGAGCTTAATGAGTCACAAAGACGCATTCTTTATTTCAAGTGCATCCTGTGTTCTCATTGGAATGGGTCCACAAAGCTGCTGGGTCCCCAAATCCTTCATTTGTAATTCCCCAGGCAGTCGCACAGACAAGGCCAAGGTTGTTGTTAGCTAAGCTACGAAGCAACCACGCCTCATTTGTTAACAAAGTTATTGGCTTTGTTCCAGAAACGTATTCCTAGGATTACGGCCCCAGAGTGCGTGCGTGTGTCTGCGTGCGCCCATGCTTGTGCCTGGGTGAAGGAGCAAGGTGGTAGGAGGGTGCAGAGGAGACTAGGAGATCTGTTCCACTCCCCAGAGTATTCATTACATAATTTAACACATGTTTATTAAGCAACTGCTGTGTGCCAGGCACTGTCTAGCACTGGAGTCACTAGATTAATTTAAAAACAATAAAAAGATGACACAGGGAGGCGTGGGGATAGAATAGCTAACAATTGACAATAATGATAGATTTCTTTCTTTCTTCTCTATCTTTTCTTTGTCACGTCTTTCTTCTTTTTGTCCTTCCATGTTTTATTGAGTGTTACCATATGTCAGATATATGCCAAGTACACATGATGCCAATGTGAATAGAGCTAAGACCTGCCCTCAAAGAGTCAATAGTCTAGTGTGGAAGATTAATATACCAACATGCATATGACCCAGAAATTGCACTCTCAGGCATTTATCCCAAGGAAATGGAAATGTATGTTCATACGAGAACCTGTATGACACAAATGTTCATAGCAGCCTTATTCACACCACCACTACACTCACCAGCCGTGAGCCTGGCTTCTGGCTTAGCAGTGCTCCCCCTGTGGGAGCGCACTGACCACCAGGGGGAAGCTCCTGCATTGAGTTCTGCCCCCTCGTGGTCAGTGCATGACATAGTGACCGGTCGTTCTGCCATTCAGTCGATTTGCATATTAGCCTTTTATTAATTGGACTAGAAGCAACTCACGTGTCCTTCAACAGGTGAATGGTTCAAAACCTGTGGCACATCCATAGCATGGACTACTACTCGGCAGTAAAAAGGAATGAGCACACACCAACTTGGATGAATTTCCAGAGAATCGTGCTGACTGAAAAAAGCCAGTCCCAAAAAGTTACATTCTGTATTATCCAGTTACACAAATTTTTGCAATGACAAAATTATAGAAATGGAGAACAGACTAGTGGTTGCTTGGGTAGGAAGGAAGTGGGTGTGGTCATATAGCGGCAACATGAAGGATTTTTTGTGGTGATGGAAATGGTCTGTCTCTTGACTGTGGTGGTGGATACATGAACAAAAGATGTCATAAAATTGCATAGAAG